TTCACCAGAAAAAAAAACCCAACAGAAAATCCAAACACATTCAGTGCAAGTTACCTTTGAACAGGTTGTCGTTTTACCACTTCCTTGCAAACCAACAAACATTATAATGTTCTGTTTTCCTTTGGTAGGTGTCCATGCTTTAACTCCAGGATCTACAAGCTACAGAACAAAGGGGTTTGTGTTGCAAAATTGAATTTCAGAGACTTATAACACTTATTGTCATACTTGGCCCTGATCAGTGCCTGGTTTCACATTCAGCAAAGAAAGCAAATTTTTTGTATATTTGGGTCTCAATTTTTTTAGATGCTTTAAATTCACAATGAACACACAGATCTTTAGTATATAGTATACATAATCATTGTATCACAGGTGGTTTTTTTTTCTCCCCATAAAACTAAGCACCAAAGCCAAGTGAGCCTATATATATTGAATATAAAAATGAACATAAACATAACCTCCACCCCAGCATCACTGCACAAGATGGATCTCTTCTGGAGAGAATCCTACAACATAGAAGACTTTTCAGGCTTAGTCTCTTCTGGAATGAATAGGAGCATGCATTCCACAGAGCCAATATGCACGATCACAAACTACAGATGAACAGAAGACAACATTTAATAGGAGAAAGGACAAAAAACTGATACCAGGTAGGGACTTGACCAAACAAGCAGATGAAAAGTTGCCATAGAAACTGCCAGGTTGTTAGTTGTACTTTTTCAATGTTTTGTAAGTAGTTTGAACAAATCTTCCCTAGAGTAGCAAAGGTATACTGCTAGGACAACCAAAGACAGCAGTTCAGGAGCTCACAGTCCCTTATCCTTATTTTGCCTTTAAATTTATTTGAAAAGAATAGCTGAACTTGAAAGTTAGTCTAGAAGATACACTCAGAAAGCAAAGTCCCAATCAGAAAAAGTACTATCATTTGCATAGGAAGTAGCCTTAGAACAGAAAACCTGACAACCCAAACAGACAGAACACCTGTTGGTACTGTACAAGAACCTTAAAACTTTGCTTGCTACTGTACTGCTCACACAACACAAGCTGTACAAGAGAAGTGACATAATAGAATTCTGAAAGTCCTACTTTAACAAGTTCTTTAAAGACAGCATGCTGAATCATTTTTCTCTTGTTAAGGCCAGATGCCATTTCTTCAAGATCAATTGCAGACCTGAATTAAAGAAAACACCTTTAGTAAAACTGAAGCCATGAAGCACTGCTATAACTTACAGTATCACGTTAACCTATTAGTAAACAAAGTCTCTGCAAGTGGAACAGCAACCTGATTTGCCTCCAGTTTTTAGGTACAATGTATTCAAGAAGTGACATACACTAGAGACAACATCTTAGTATGTAGCACAAAACCAGGTTTCCAGTGTACTTGTATCTACTTGACTTACACATCTCAAAATAACAAGGTAACAGTACTGAGCATGCGCACAGATCTATCTATAGGCAGCACAGAACGTTGGAAGATGAGGTGCCCAGGCTCTAAGAGCTTATTTACTATTCCACTCAACTGACACTTTTTTTTTTAAAGAAAGACCCCAGCAATTGGCTAAACCCAAGGAAGACTATTTTGACACAGCTGGCTAGATGCTGTTTGAAACTGATTTTTTCTGTTAAAGTGAAAACTAGGGTTTGAAGGTAGACTGAACATGCTTAAGAAAGTCATACACAAATTAGAAGTTATTCTTCCATAACATCAAACTACGATTTTTACAAACATTAAAATTAAAATTGATGTTGATTACTTACTTGACATTTTCTCTTAGTTGCTTCACAAGTTTAATATTAACATCAGCTTCCAGTAATGCTGTGCATACTTCTTTTAACATAGCATTTAAAACCTTTGGAGTATAAAGGAAAAATGGTTTTACAACACACAACGTTGACTAACTCAGTATTAGTTTCCAATAACAATGAGAAAGTGTATTTATGATACACTAAAGGCTTTTATGAGTTAAATGCACGTGGTCTTATTGTTATATTGACTGCCACAAAGTCTATGCGTTTGCTCATATGCAAATCAAGTTTAAATCTGAAAGGGAAAAGGAAGCACCTCAATTTGTCACCTGCATTTTCAGCATAAACTGCACTGCTGCTCTGCAGCTGCTCTGGTTTTTCAAGCAAAGGTGGAACCCAGATCAGTAGCCATAAAATGTTTCACTTTGAAAAGTCTTGAACAAAAACATTTTTACTTTTTTTTTTTAAATTAAGTAACATCTGAATAAGCAACCTCATTTGCACAGCTTGACCTCTCACAGGAGAAAAGCTTTTATTAGCAAAAAAAAAAAAAAAAAAAAAAAGGCATTGGGTTGTATTAGGCTGTTTGTTGTTTTCTAGCTTAAGATGTTCGCCTTGCACAAGTTCTAAAATTGTGCCTATTGGTAAGCCTATTTTTTAGTTACTTCAGGCAACAAAACACATTTGTCTACCTGAACTTTCTAGCCATTTACTCAAAAGCAATTTCAAATCATCGTATCCTTTACTTTTTAATCTTGCCATTCAGTCTTTACAACACATTTACCATATCAAAATCTTAATTAAAAAATACAGACTATCAAGTCAAATAGCTTCCAGAGTCACATGCTGGCTAGAACAGAAAGGCAGCAAAGTTAGCACTCCTCTCATTTTAGGGTGCAAAACCTATACTGAAAATCATTTCTTCTTCCACAGTCCAGCTTCTAGCAATCTAGTACACATCCATAACACAGCTGAACAGAAATGCTGGCACATTCTGCAAGGTCTCAGAGTAGTCTCCACCAGAACACAGGCATAAAATGCCTTCTTCAGCATTCACCACTTCTGAATGCTACTTTCCAGGAGTACAGCCACCAGTCATGATGACCCTGCGAACATGGGGCCCACTATCTCTGAGGTGACTCTATATGCCTAAACCTAGCACTGAGTTTTGGCTATCAGGGGCTATAAAGCTCTAGCTAGAAGTTTTACTTGAATGATGAAAAGAGTTTGGGAATAATATCAACTCACTTTTTGGTTCTCATCAGCCTAATCTACCAGAACTTTGCTTTCCAAACGTTACAGTGCCATCATGCAATTGTTTTACATACCTCTTCGTTGATAATTGTAGCATTGCTCAGTGAACGCAACGCTGAAGTAATTTTTCTTCCAAGATCTGCTAGAACCATTTTGGCGGCTTCAAAGTGACCTCAGAAGAATCTGGAAAACAATTTAAAAAATAGTTCTAAAACTAGTTGAAGCTATGCCTTCACAGAGGAATTATTCCAGTACATTCTGGGTTAAGTAACCTGCTTTGCTCTCCAGAAAGCACAAGTTTGAACTCTTTAAGTATTATTTTTAGCAAACACTGGCCTGAAATTAATTTTAGGAAATCCTGATGGCCTACTTGAAAATAGAAATACCATCCTGCAACAAAAAATCATTTCACTGTCTGCTATGCTTATGCCTAAAATTCATTGTGAAAAAATAGTCTAGACAGAATTCCAAATAGAACATGCCTCCTTATTTTCTTACCAGGATGATGTTACATCACAGACTTAAAGCCAAGCCAAAGAGCCTAGAAGCTACGCGTTATGCAGAGACAACACAATCAGAAGCAGTACATTTTGCAAGCAGGAGGTAACACTGTTGATCAGTACTATTATATCTACCCTATTCTAAATCAAACCAGATTTCCCATGTCAACAGTCCCATAAACATACATGTATCTTAACTAACAGAATTCATGCTGTGTTTTTAAACTTTTCTATTGGGAAACCAGACCATTTTCTGTTCCTTATAAACAAATCTTACACGCAAGCCTACGGTAATTTGACAGTTTGAAAAAGGAGTTTAAAAATAACTCCTAAAAGCTGCACATGCAAAGACAACATCTTAACTCACCCTGCCTCTAAATCTTTGGAAAAGGACAAACACAAACTTGTCTCATAACAAAGCTGCAGCACCACAGTCACTGCAGAAAGTACTGCTTCGGGCTTCTCTTGTTCACCTCCTGATTTGGCAGCTGCTTTCAAACCACTCAGCTGAAATTCCCCCCCCAGCTCAATGCTGAATTCAAACCTCACACCTGCGTTCTTCCTTTCAGACCTGAAAGCAAACTTCCCAATATGAAACCATGTGTAATCAACGCAGCTGACAGTTTTTCCCCCCCATATTCCAGAATTCTACAGATAACTAAGTACAGAAGATTAAATATTTCCTAACAAACAAATATTTTCGCAGCCGAACCGTCCTACAGACGCAAAAACCTACTGTGCCAGAGCACCCAGCCAGCGGGCACCGCAACCAACCGCCCTGCAGCACGTAGCTGCGCCGGCGGCATCCGCAGCAGCAAGCTCTGACGCAGCGCCGCGTACCGCCCGGCACGGACAGAGGCCTGGCGGCGGAACCCAAGGCTCGGCGGCCGCTAGAGGACGGGCATTCGGGAGCCAGGCGGCAGAAGCCGGGGTGGGATTTGAGCCGCAGCCTGATGAAACGCATTGCCCGCCCAGCCAGCACGAGCCCACCGCAATCTGTCTGGACAGACAGCGGCGGCGTGCCGCTAACACGCAGCTTTACCCGACACCGGGCGAGGCTGTCCGGCGCGGGCGCTCACCGTTGGGGCGGCGCGGGGCCTGCTGCTGGCGGGGCCGGGCGGCACTGCGCTGCCTCCGCGCTCTGCCACCGGCAGCGGCGACCCGCTCCTACCGACCGGGGAGACGTCACCACTCGCCTACGCTCTCGGCGCACTTCCGCCGCCGGGGCAGGCGCCGGCTGGCCCGCTAAGGCCGCCGCGACTCGATGGCGTACCCGCGCTCGGCATAAAAACTCTCCGAGTACCGCTGTACCACCTTAAGAGTGGCTGGCGGGCGGGGCTGAAGCGGAACGGCCCTGGAGCGTGCGCAGTGGGCGGGATTTCTGCTTCAAGCGTGCGCAGAGAGAGGGCTCCTCTGGGCCGCCTTTTGAGCCTGCGCGACAACGGTCACAGAGTGGCCGGGAGCGACGCAGGGCGCCCCCTGGCGTCGGCTGGGCGCGCGGCGATGGAGCTGGCGGCGGCGCGGCGTGCGGTGTTGGCCGCCGTGCGGGGCACGTGCGCCGCCGACCTGCCCCGCCTGCTGCATTGGATGCGTCACAGCAGTAAGCGGCCGGGCGGCGGGAGGCCGAGGGGAGCCGAGCACCGGCGCCGAGGGGCCACGCCGAGCCTGCGCGGGGGGCTCGGCGGGGCCTGTCGGGACGGGGTCCGCCGAACGCCCGCGCTTTGCTGCGCTGGCGTCGTTCTTGTCCCGGGTGTGATGTCCCGGCGCCTCACGTTGAGCCTGGAGACGGTTTTGTAAACGTGTGGGGAGAGTTGGAGGCCGGGCGCGACCCCGGCGGTGCTGGGACGGACAGCCGAAGGGCTGAGGCGGAAGGCGTGCCGCTGCCGGCGGCCCTGCGGGTATTGGAGCCGCGGGCACCGTGTGCTGCTCGTTGCCACGGCCTCCAATATGGAGAGGGGCAGGAGGGGCTGCTGCGTCGGGAAACGCAGCGCATACCGTGTGAGACCCCGTTGCTCTCCTAGCCCGGCCCGTCGGCTGGTAGGAAAGTTATTGCCAGATGCTTCAGGGCACGCACAAGTCACGCTTAGAGGAGAGATGGGGAGTCCCCGGGCTTGATGAAGGCTGGCGTTTGATGGATATGATTAGAGTTAACTGTAACCAGACGTTCTTCTTGTGTGTTTATTTACACATATGCATACACAAATACATATGTCTACATGTATCTGCATGTATAGGTAACATCAGGGCATAGCGTGTCAGTAACAACTGGTGAAATTTAGGCTAATTTGATTTCCCAGGTTGACAGACTTGTGGAGAAATTTAGAGCCTGTGAAATGTGGTACCTGACCATTGCTTGTAGAAACTACCAGTCTGTGCATCTACTGGTCATTTTTTGGCGAAATTACTATCATTTGCTCATTTCTTGGATGTAATTTTGAGGTTTTATAGACTCTGCACTAAAATGTACGTGCATGTACATGTGCCTCTACAGTAGAGGAGAGGGGATTAGAATGCTTTGTGCAAACCTCTAAGAATTTGTCATTGTTAAGACAATTATTGTCCAGATGGTTTCATTGATTTGTTAGGCCGTTAACCTGTTTGTATTTTTCCACTCTTCACTTTTCCAGAATAGCTGTGTACTTCTGGTTCATCTCTTTCTTTTTTTCTTTCTCGAGTGAGCTCAGACTCGAGCAAAGAGCTCTCTTTCTATTGCTGGTTTATGTTCCTTTGTCACTGAGTAGTAAGTAAGCAGAGGCATTTATCCAATTTCTGTTCTCTTTCTGTAGTTTTGCCAAAATCACAAATGTTTGGGGTGATGTTCCCAACAAAACACTTTGATGATTCCTCTCTATATGCTGCCTCTGTTTCTCTGAACAGCTGTGTCTGCATGCTGACAGTTACCTTCACTGTGGTCCCGTCCCCTGCTCCCCTCCCAGCAGCCTAAATGTTGCGTTTGAGTGATCACTGTCCTCATTTGTCCTGATGGTAACATGCAGGGAGAGCAATGACAATTAGTGCTGGTTGGTCAGGGGATTGTGAGGAACTGGGACTAAGGTTTCTGCTGTTGCACACTGAACACAACTCAGGAATTTGGAATTCCTGTATGCCAAGAGAAAACAGTACTGTGAGATAAGATGAAAAGGTATTGTATTTCTGTACCACGCAGCAATACAGGTGAAGAAAAAAAGTGAGGATGTAGTGATAGCGTTCTGTATGAAAAAAAAAAAATAGTAAAAGTTAGGAAGGCTAGGATAAAAGGAAACACAGATGGTATCCTCACTGATAAGTTGTTTTGCTGTGGTGAATATTTTCCCCCCACCTTCTGCTGCCAGCTTATTCCTGTTCCCAACAAGGTGTTGTGCTTACAGTTTTACTTCCAGCTGAGGAAGATGGGGCACAGTTGCAGTGCTAGCTGTGGTCAGGCTTTCTTCTTCTCTCCCAAACAGAGTGTGCATGTAGCCTTACAGAAAGCTATATGTAAGTGGTTGCCTTTTAGCCATGTTTATTTATTTAACTTAATTGATATTTTCTGATTTCCATGTGGATTAGTATTAAAAACAAACAAACAAACAAAAAACCAAAACAAACAAACAAACAAAAACAAACAAACAAAACAAAACAAAACAAAAAAAACTTTTCCAGGAAAGAGCCAAATTATGTTTTAGTGAAACAAATAATATAAAGACCCTTATGTAGGTGGAGCTAAGAGAACACTGCTTAGGTTCTCAGTTTAATGATTTCTGATTAATCTTTCTTAGTAATTATGGGTATGAGAGTGTGTAAGATGCTATTCGTTTTCTTTGTCCCAGTGGAGAACAAAATAACCAGTCATGCTATTTTTAGTCTTGCAAATTTTAGAAGTTCCAAATCTTTACGTGTGACGGAAGAAGACGTTACAGTTTTAAGGCAGCTGCTTAGCAACACTGCTTTGCTGTTTCGCAGTTGGGCACTGCTTCCCACTTACTGCAGTGGGATGTACGTCATTTCATGGTGACTTGCTTTCCAACTTTTCCTTTGAGTTAGTCTTAGATCACAGAGAAAATGAAACAATAGCAGTTGAAAAGTATAACAGGAACCTTTGGTGTCTTAACTGATTTTTTTTTGGTTTTTGTTTTTTATCATAAGATGATTAATGCTTTAATATCCTTTTGCAATAAGCACGTTCCAGAAGTTCTGGCTAAGAAAGCTTGGGTGAAGCCCAAGAGTTAATTCAAACCACTTGGGGAAGCCCCCCTGAAGATCCCACTCAGTTGGTCCCAGCATTTGATGTATAGCTTCTATATAAATGTGTGCATGCACGTATTCCCAATTGTTCTGCTGCTGCCCAAACTCATAAAAATGTTCAATAGCAGGAAGGGTTGCATTTGGTATGAGTGGGTGCTGGAGAAGATAAGCAATGAAAGCAGAGATTGATCAGGCTTCTGTATCTCAACAGAGATGCAAAAATCAAAGTAAGTAGTCCCAGGAATGCTAATTTCAAGATTGAAGTCACCTAATCACTTTACTTAGTGGCAACTGTCTGTGGCAAATCTTTGCTGTACTTGCAGCTATGTTGCAGGTTACCAATGTTGTCTTTTGATAGATGTCAGTAAAGCACAGATAAGCTGATTAAAAAAAGACCTTTTGTGGTTTTCAATGTACTGTCATGGGATCTGAGATAAAGGAAAAAAAAAATTTCAGCAGAGCCATAACAGACTGATACTAGCTTTTTTTTTTTTTTCAGTTATGTAACAGTGAAGTAAAACAATCTTACAAGCTTTTTCCATTTTATACATTCTGTTATAAGCTTTTATTATTTGAAGCTGAGGATTTCAAAGTGATTTAGAAGGCTGAATTGCCAGTTGTTCATACAGTGTTGTATTGTTTGAAACAATAACTGAATAATAAACCATCACAGATCCACTAAGTTAAGGATAAATGACGTATAATTAAGTATGATTATTATTTTTTTCTTTTGGATTCACTTGTACTGGGGGAAAATCAGCTTTGTAAGCGGGTGATGTAGAATTTAGCTTTGTAACTTGGAGGTTGAGGTCCATCAGTGCTGTAAGCTCAGCCTTTTAGAAGGTGATGAAGGAAGGGTACCTGACAAAATTAACTTAACCAACCATGGTAGGTATGTTTCTTTGTTATAGTGATCTGCATACAGATAACAAAACTTTTCATCATACACTCAGAAACAGACCACATTTGTCCAGCTTTTATATTATGACCGAGGCGTTATTGTGTTCCTAGGCATTCCTAGGTAAAGTTAGCAGATGCTGATTTCTACAAAACAAGGATATAGAATAAAATAAGGAAAAAACCTCTCTCATAGGGAATGTTGTCTAGTGTTTCCTTTTGATACTGTTGTCAGTGCAAGTGGAATGAGTTTTTGAAAAGAAAAAAGCGTGGGTTTCTGTGATGTAACCAAGTGTAAGTGTAGTTTTCTGTGCATGTGAAAAAGCAATTTAGTGCAAGGTTTTGTGTCCAAATGCGTAGAAGTGATTTATCCGGGTAGAATACCCTTGCAAAAGAGATCAGGTAGTGTTGCAGAGCCACGTTAACAGCAATGTATTTCTTACAATGATACCATCCCAAAAATCTTCTTCACTGCTCTCTTGTTTGGTAAACCTCTTGTCACCAATTTTAGGAACTGGCATTAATTTTCTTTGTTGTTCTTGGTTGAGACAAATGATACTGCTGCGGGAGAGAAATCCTAAGAATACCAAGTACTTCTGAGTTGTTAGTCACTGAAACTTAACGAAGGTGGGAAAAACCTGTGATTGGAAAATGGATAAGCGAAGTGACTAGTTTGAAATTTAACTTTGAAGTTTCTTACAGTTTATGAATGAGAAGAACTAATGAAATAAGCTCCATTTATATTTCTGCTGGGGAAAAAAAGCAAGATATTCTTTACCAATAGTTAGTGATGTTTAAGGATACAAAAAGCATTTGGAGTTCCTGAGGAAGCAATCTTATATATTGAGGTCAGAGGCTGGTTCTGACATTGTTAGCCAGAAAGGGGCTAGTAATGTTCAGAAATGTGGGACTTCCTCTTTGACCTGTTTGTCCAGTATCATAAAAGCACACTGCACAACTGAATTAGCTTTGTATCAAGTAACGTGGATGATTGTATTCACTTTTTACGTGTCTGAGGCTGAATATATATCTAGGAAACCACAAGGTGCTGGCTGTTACTGTTGCTTTTGCTAAATCCTCATATTTCCACATGAAGTCATTTTCTGATATCAGTACACGATACCTGGATCTGAAGGTGTTAGTGTAGCAATCCTTTCTATACTGTGTGAGGTTTTGTGATGTTTTCTTAGCATGTGTTGTATTTGCTGTAGAAAGATTGAGCAGCACCAGGGTGCTAATTAGAGTTTTTGCAACGTGTTGATTAAATGTTAGAAGTATGTGTTGAGTAGATCCAGTGAAACCGGTTTTTGAAGTAAAATACAAACACACTGGCATTCAGACTTCCTCCATAAACAAATGATTGTGATTCATCTTGCAGCATTTCATGAACTGTGTGCTTCTTTCCTGGTTAGCTGTCTGCTCTATGAACACCAGGTTTGCAGACTGCATTTCATATATTCAACAGGCACTAAAATGATAGCAAAAATAGTTTTCTATTTTAGTTTCTTCTTTGAAGATCCTCATAAGTAGATACGGAATTTCTCACGAGTGAACGATTTGTCAAACACCTGGGTGGAGCTGATTACCAGACTGAGGCAGAAATACATATTTTCATATTTGGCACCTGCATTCTGTACTTGATGGCAATCTGAATGTTTACACACTGCCAAAGCAAATGAGGCATTGTGAGAGCTGCTGCTGTTCTTGCTTTGACAGGAATGGTGTGACTCGGAGCCTGCATTTAGTCACAGGGTAAGCATGCAAGTGCAGAGCATGCCTTGTGCAGCTCCTGCTGTTCTGTTGTCCTTGGAGGAACATATTCTAACCTCCTTCTCTTCTTGCAATACTGACAGTTGGTAAGGAGTACTTCCAATGGCCATTTATGTTTCAGTATTAACGTAAATGGTTTCCAATGGCCATTTGGTTTTCTGTATTAACGTTTCATGTTCTTCATTTTAGCTGCTCAGATGTTTTAAGATTTTTTGGTAGGTTCATACAGATCATCCACAAGAACTGTTGTACATCATCATGTTTCCTACGAGGAGCTCAGAGGGCCCTGCATGAGAAGTTCAGTGTTGTGACAAGTGTTGTACAGATGGTAGTGCCAGCAGGGAGGACAGTCAGGATTTGAGGAAGGGGAGCATGCTGCCCATCTTCCACTGACAGTGCCATCTCACTGCAGCAGAGATGGGACATGACATGCAGCCTCTAGGACCGTTCCAGCTGCCCTTGGCCATCAGAGGTCCATCAGGGTGTGAGGGAGCAGGCCTTAGCTCATCAGTTCTGAAAGGAATGGAGGGGCTAAGTTGTGCTCTTGCTATGTGATATGGCTGGCACGGTGGTCTACAAACTCTTCCTGCATTTCATTAAACTCTCTGTATATGAATTTGATACTCTTAACAGCTGGATGAGGTCTCTTGCATAGTAATAGTATTGTTGTAAAGCATCTGCCAGATGTAGGGGCTTATTGCCCCCAGACACCAGTCTGTACAGCTGCTAATATCAGCTTTCTGCTCTCTTTCTGTCTATGTCACTACTTTTCCTCTTGCTTCTTCAAATGTTTTCTACCTCTGCAGACTCAGCTTTCCAAAGGTCTGTCCTAGTGCTAATGGACCCATTCCTACATTATTTATTAAGATTTCTCCCAGCTTAATATTACAAGATTTAAGCAATAGTTTGTCCACCTTTCCATAATCTCTGGGTTTACTTCTGTGCATCCATAGAAGCCTTCTCTAAGCTGATCAGAAAACTCACTACTTCTGGAATGATCCTAAAGAATCTGGAAATGCTGAGCGAACTCTGGGATTCACTGAGATGGGTGCTTATTAGAGGTTTCAAAGTTAAAACGCTGACAGACAAGAACTGCTGCTTTGCACCTGTTGTGTTGTTCGTGCTGCTTCGTTTGCAGCTGCCTCCTCTGTCCTGCCCAGTTCCTCTTTGCGAAGTTTGCATCTTCTGGGGAGCTGAGGTTTTGGAGGACAAATCTGTGAACTGCTTCAAATGGCAGATTGTCTTCTAAGGTGTACCATGCCCATCAGGGCTTTGGTATGTTACTCCTGTACATTTGTCAATAGTAAACTAAATAGATTTTAATACTAATGGGGAATTTAGGATTATCTCTTGGTGTCAGTACTGGAAGAACCATTTACAATTGTACCTTCAAAGAAGAGGGTGTTTTGCATTGATGAGTGATGGTTTAATAGTGTTGTTCAGACTACAGGGCTTAAGCAAAAAGCATTTCAGTAGCATTTAATACTTAAAAGTGTAGCTGGTCTCTGGATCCTACCTATACTAGCCTTAAATTTTCTCACTGTTTCTGGCGTTGCTTGTGCTTCGGAAGAGAGACTGCTTGTGCTAGCACAAAACTATTGTGTGTTTCATAGATTTGTGTGTTTCATAGATTTATTTTGAACCTGTTTGCCATTAAGCATGCTCGTGTAAATGTTCCACCTGAGACAGCACTGCTAACAAACATTAGCATTTTTGTTAACACTTAAAAAAAGCTGCCAGCTGCATTGGTGAGTGAAACATGTACATGTGAAAATTGCAGTCTGTACCCTTAGTGGCATTCTAAATAGAGCAAGAGGCAAACCGGAAGGGAGGGGGAACAGGACAAATGTGTTAAGAAATCAAGATGAAGTGACTGTGTTTTTTAGGGTTACGTTTGTGGTTGGTTTTTGTTTTGTGGTTTTTGTTTCTTTTACACATACGTAGTATTGACCTGATGCGTGCCTTTGTTTAGAACCACCAGTTTGGTGTCTTCTGAGCACCAGAAGACACCTTTCCAGGCAAAAGGAATTTCATATAGTCCTTCTTTTGAGGAAAATATAACAGAAAAGGAACAATGCAGGTGCACAGCAGATCTCAAGTTGAATGTCAGATAGGGGGCTGACATGAGACTAAGGTATGTAAGCAGGATGTTGTCTGCAAGGCGTGAAAAGTCTGGTTGATGCAAATAAACATTTAGCTAGATAAATGGGTTTAGTTCTGAATACTGCAGGTCATAAAGGATGAAAGAGTCCAGAGGTTCCAAAGAGGAGTGATGAGAATGATCGTACTCAAAGAAAAATGAAAGAAAGGGTTGAAGAAGTAGATCTTGTTTCCTCTGGAAAAATGAAGGCTGAGGGGATGTGATGAGTCTTTGAAGAAATAAAAAGCTTCTATATGCAAGAAAAAATAGATTTCTCTATTTCCATTGTAAATGAAACAAAGAAGTTTAAGTTGTGGCAGAGAAATTTAGATTAATTACTAAGAAAAGTACTTAATTCTAATGGTAATAAGTGTAGTCAATCTCTGGAATGGGTTGATAAGGAAGATTGTAGATTGATAAGGGAGATTGTAGGTACTCCAGCATCCAAGAATTATTTATTTATTTATTTAGATAATAGCTTGGGAGAAATATTGGTGCTCAGAATTGATTCTGTCTTGGAAGAAGGGTTGAAGAGTTGGTAACTTCCGAAGGTTCCTTCCAGGTCCTTTTTCTAACTGCCTAAATTAAAAAAGAAAAAAAAAAGTGTTGAAAGAATGCAGGGATATCTTGGAAAAATAGCAAGAATTTACAGTGTGGCTTTGCAAGAGTTTACTGGTTTATATCTACTCCTATTTTCTTTCACATTTGAAATATTTTGATAGTTTTAGTCACATAAAATCTAAGTTGAACTGTTGAACTGTGCATTATCCCTGGTTGTTTTTTTTTTTTTGTAACCACTTTATTAGAAAGATTGGAATGTATAAAGAGAAACTTTTATAAAAAAAACAAAAACAAATCAAAAAACAAAACTATGTGCGTTCAGGCAACTGTGAGTTTTGTAATTTCTCCAATAGTTCAAAAACATCTTTGATGTTTTTATATCTTAAGCTGAAACAGTATCACTTTAGTGGCAGTGCAGACCATCACATGTGAGTTATAAGTTTATAAATATGAAAATAATTTGAGATTTCAAAAAAGTGATACGTTTATTTTCAGTGTTATTACAACCTAAATCTGTCATTGGCTGGAAAAACTAACAAAGGCTGAAAAACGCATTTCAAATAAAAACCTTATCCATCTGGTATTGTTTATGTCTTGCAACTATACTGTATTGGTCATCACTTAGTCCACATGATCTACATATGATTGTTCAGAGTTTTTTGTTTGTTTTGATTTATAGGTGACTTTGATGAGTTTGTGATGACGAACAATGATGTTGTACTCAAAAATATCGCTGAAGATTTGCGGAATCATTTACCCATTGAGGCAATGTTTAATTCAGAACATCTAGCTATCCAGAAAGTAAGCTAATCATTATGGTCTCCTTTTGCTGAACCATGCATTTATTTGGGGCTATGCAGTTTTACTAGTTGCTTATAGCAGAGAACGAGCATTGGATTGAGATATGGGTAATTGCAGTTTGGTTCTCAGGTCTGTTTCTGTGTAACTGCGTGACCCCAAGGAATTTGCTTCATACTTCTTAAAACTTTCATCATAAATTATTTGGCACAGCTTTTATTCTTTGTGGTGTGCTACCTGTCACAGTGATTCTTTAATACTAGCTCCGTAATAGACTCTAACAGCCCCCTGAAAGACAATAGAAATACAGGGCCAGTGTTCTGCTTTTGCCATAATCTGGGCAACCCAGAAGCAGTTTGCAGTTGTTTTCAGGTTGTGGTGGCTCAGAAAGAGGCAGGCTGTGAGCCCTGTGGGAAGGGAGAGCACCTCTTCTATTTGAGTTGTTAGAATAGCTGGAAAGTGAACACGTTTCCTGAAAATGTTGTGTGGCTTTTAAATGGGGGAAAAAAAAAAAAAGATTGTCCACTCTATGAAAGGGAGGAAAGGAACAAGAGGATAAAAATTATACCCCTTGAAATGATGAGAAAGCAAGCACCTCAACTGCTATTCTTCTGACTGGAAGTTACACTCGTGTAAATCGGGTGTGTCTAGATTCAGGCACAAGGCATCAAGATGAGACTTCCTGGATGGTTTAAATGAGAAGCAAAATTGCCCCTTCTTAGAATATATTCTCCTCTTGTGAAAGAGAAGAAACTTCTGTTAATTTGTACCTCCTCTATTGCCAAGAATTTCTAAGAAGACAAAGTTCACAGCAGCTCTCCTACTCAGCTGTCAAAACCTGCAGCTTTCATTTCTTTGTCAGCTTCCGCCTACTGGTTATTTCAGTGAAATTTGATGATCCACTTTTCGTGCGAGATTTCTGTGGTTTAATTTTGATTTGTTACTTCTCAATAGGGAAACACTTGGCCTCAGGGATTTTGGTAAAGATAGACCAGTAAAGTTAAGAAATATAAAAGGTTATGCCTTTCTTACGTTTTCTTCCTTTTCTCAGATACATCAGCATCCACTGCCCATGGTTCATGTTGATGCATTCCTTTATGATGATGACTTTCTTGATACAATGTGTGAGGAGGGGAGAATGAGTAGGAACTACTGCACAGAGTGTGGCTCATACAAGACTGCATCTTTAGGTAAGTGCTCTTTTGGAAACATGAGAAGTGAATTCTGTTCAACTATACGTACTAGTTTGTGCAGTGACTCAGCTGGGCAGCACAACATCCATCTGATGGAAGCCTGGTGCAGTACACAGGCCAGTATTATTTCCCATAACCAGTATAAGGAGTCTCCTGTATGTAAAAGTCCAAGTAATTTGCTGTGAATCAGTGACCCTAGTTGCCCACAAAAACCGGATCAGGCTACGTACCACTGAAAAGGTGTATACGCAAATAATACTGTAGCAGCCCATGCAGTAGCCTCAGTCTTCTCTTGTGCACTGAAAACTGTGGAGAGCACCATCTGTCTTAAAGCTTGTGTGGTACAGATCAGGCATTGAAGAAGGATTTAAAAATTCTCCATGTAAAGGAATAAATCCATGGACTCGGGCAGTCTGCTGACAGGCTGGATCAGATCTGTAATCTCTGGTTTTCCTGGGTCCCCTGCACTAGTTGAGGAAGGAAAGCAAATGGGTTTTCAGTGATGGTAACTCCTCAGATTAGTATTTTATTGGTTACTAACACATTAGTTAGTACTGCCCACCCAACACCTTTGTTCTGTTCTTATTTCCCAGAATTTATTTCGCATTCCTTTTCCCTCATGGAACTGAAGTTTCTTTATCAACATGTACTGCCTGACCTGACAGGAAAGGTAGTGGTTGACGTTGGCTCCAGGCTTGGTGCAGTGCTATTTGCGGTAACTTCCAGCACAGGAATTTATATTTTATTACTGTAACAAACATATTCCTTCTTCTCCGACTTCCTACTATCGCTACTCAATCTTCGACAGGTCATTCTGAACAGCACCTCTGATCTGGTTGAATAGAGTATGGTGCTGCTTCATAGTGATTTTTGTTTTTGCTCTTGCCTCACGAAAGAGAATACCAGTGATCTTGCTTATGGAGCAGAAAAGTCTGTTGTCCAACACAGCAGCATATTGCCGTCACACATACTGCTCTTTTGCTAATTCCTGCTCTTCTCCTCCTCCATAAGTGAGTTTGTCCCATATGTCTTGACCATGTCTATATATAGATCAGATATGTTAAGTTCCTTTATGAATCTGACAAACTGTTGAATTATACAAAGGAAGGCTTTGATATGAATTTGTCTCCAAAAACATATTGTCCTGCTCTGTGTTTTAAAATGCACATAAAATACTTCGAGAAACTTGAGTGCAATTTTGATTGCTTTTGGCATGGCTGGTGAAACATATGGCCAACAGCAACGCAAAACACACATTACAACTTTCTTACAAAAGTCAATGGCTGTTTGGGGCTCAATCTTGGAAACTCTTGTGCATGTAATTTTACTCATCTGAATAATCTAATTTTGGGACTGCTCAAATGAGAAAAGTTACACCCTTTTGTAAATATTTCCAGTATTGGGTCCTTTAATGATAACACTTTTGCTAGCTATTGAATTTCTTTTCAAGTATTTAAATGAAGTATTTAAATTGTATTGTTATAGTAGAAGATAGTCTCAAGAAAAAGCAGGAAGAATGTTTTGTTCTATTTTTTATCATGTTTAGAAATGATAGCTTTGCCTTCACAGGTTGCTGTCACTGAGTTTAATGAGTTCAGAAAACATTAATAATTAGATTGCAGTATATAGCCATCTTGAACTTTCTCTATCTTCAGCACTTTTTGCTGGTGTTTCCCGTTGTTTGCCAAGTGTTCTACGGAGACAATGGCAAATAGAAGCTAAAGCAGTATCTCCATTAGGGCACTATAGGCTTGAGGGCTTTTGTTCTAGGTGTGTGGTTTTTGTTTTTGTTTTTGTTTTTGTTTTTTACATCTTTTACAAATTTCTAAAATCTCAGTCCAAAACGGAATTGCTGAAGTATTTTAGGCTTATCATTTAGAGATAATTTCTCATTTTTTTTTTTCATATGCATCTCTGTAAAGCACCTGAAAATGGCAGTGATACACTACTTAGAGGTGCTGACAAAGACTGTCCCAAAATATCCCATTATCCCATTATATTACGAGAAAGATCATCCTCTGTCTTCACTCACATTAACTGTCCTAGTTGTTTTTTCTTCTCTTGCTGTATTTTCTTCTTCCATTCTCACAAGAAAAAAAAAAGTACAGTCTTTTTCCTTCTTGCTATTTTTATAATTTGGTTTCTACTGCTTTTTTCCATCCTAGGCCTTTTTCCATCTACTTTGCAATTGAAGTAAAGTTGAAGATTTCCTACTCTTTTTATTATTTTGACCTGTTGTTTTGGATCTCTTATTAAAAAATGTGTGAGCCATAAGTGGAAATTGTCAAAACAGGCCTAGCTTTGAAAAATATATCACATCCACTGTAAGGCACATCTTAGCTTCTTTTTTTATTAAATACTTTCTTGATATTTACTTTTGTTGGCTTGTTTGTTTTTGTTTGTTTTTGTTTGGTTTGTTTTTTTTTCCATTTCAACTCAATATTGAAGTTGTTTTAAAGGCATCACGGTTACTAAACTTCCTTTTCCTAATGTAGGGTTATCTTTATAGCTCAGCTTCTCAACTGTATGGAGTAGAAATGAATGCAGACTTTTGCCAGTTGCAAGAAATGACAATTACAAAATACCAGTTCATTGACAGAATAAAGGTAACTAAGTATATGGCTGTGTGTGTATATTTTTAACCACTGTATAGTAGGTATTCTGTTTGCAAGAGCAACTGGTAAATTGGCATTCTGAAAAATTGTTTCTGCCTTTGCTTGCTTTGGTATTAAGCAAAGGGTTTATATTGGAAAAAAAATCTCAGTGTGGAAAGAAAAAGGAAAATTTCCAAACTATGATAACATGATGTATGTCTTAACCTCTTTCCCAAATGGATTTACCTGCTGGCTCATGCAAAACAGATCCATCTTAGTTGTTTCTCCCAGTGAAGTGAACAACAGCGTTGCCACTAACTTCCTTGAAACTGAGTGAATGAGAGTTTCTGTCTTGAATAAGAAAATCAAATGTCTGTGCATTTCATTAACACTAGAGGGAGGATTTGTAAATTTGCATCTAAGAACACCTAAAGGACTTTTGGCTATTGGAATTTGTTTTCTTGACATGTCAGTGCGTGTGTACTTTCCACAAACAAAATGAGTTTCAAGCAACGTGATATTGTTATGGGAATTGTTTCTCAACTCCTATTATGGAAATAACTAGTACTATCATTTTAATGAGAAAAATATTTGGGTTTTTTTCCCTTCTTGGGGAATACCAGTTGTTTTGCTTCCAGCAAAAATTGGTAAGTAGAATATGCTGTGTGAAATACTGGCTTTAATCCTGTGTTATATGCATATGCTCTTGAGTGGAGTCACAAAAACCACTGGGCGCAGTTATTTCTTGGAAATTAAAATAGTGATTTTGAACTGTAAAGAAATAATAAGCGTACATAAATATAACTCTAGGTAAGCAGTGTCATTGGGTTGCCCAGTTCAATACCAACTGCTGACAGTTCATCCATAACCTTCAATTTTTGCATGTACTTCGTACTTGTTTTGATGAGACTGAAGTCTCAGTTAGAACTTTGTCAAGTTACTTCAGTGGAACTGGAGATGCATAAATATGCTTTTCAGCCTTTTATGTACTATATTATAAGACTTTGTTTTTCCTTCACACCTTTTAATTCTGCTGATGTATCCATTTCAGGGAATAAAGATAAGAAGATGGTATGTTTTCAAAGCAATGCCTGAGGACTTTAGTATTTGAATTTCATTAGATGCTAATTTAGTCACATGACTTCTGTTATCACCCTGCTTTGAATATCTCATTCTTAGGTTTTTATTTTACCTCTCTAGAGATACATACTAGCTTAAAAAAAGAAAGTCAGAATCCAGCCGCTGATAATAATTTATGACACAGATTTTGAAGAGACCTTTCTTAAATAATAATTGCTTTTCAGGATATACTGAATTTTTGTTAGAACGTTTTCCCAAAGGGTGGAATCCTGATCTACATTTGATTTGTTAAAGTATATAGAAAGTTGCTCAGTGTCTTTTGATGTCTGAGCAAATGTGTAGATACTGGAAGGAAAATAAAATAGTTCGATTTAAAATCAGTTGCTGTCCTCTGTTGTGCCAACGTATAGCCAAGCTGAACAGAAAGCAGGTACAGCTGACTTAGAACCCATTGTTTCAGCTGGAGTGGTATCTGGGCCTTGCTTGTGATGCAACCACATGCTCTTGTGGTCCTGCATTCCCCAATAGAAACAAGGATGGGTTTAACGAGAATGGGCTGCAAAGGTCAGTTTAATCAGCACAGTCACCTGTTCTGTAAAAGCAGTCTAATTTTAATTTGAGGTCTAAGCATTTTTGAAGTAAATGAGGCATCGGACAACATATGTTTGAAATTTCCTGGTAGCTTATTTTTCTGAATCAAGGCTAAAAATACTAGGACTGCCATTAGCAGGACATGTAGAAAATTCAGTAGTAATGTGGTGTCTTGTGCCACTTATGTGTGTGATCTTTTCCTCCTTCAAGCTGTCATTTTTAAAATCCCTTTGGGAACAGCCCATCAGTCACTTGGGTTTGAATTAAGCACTGCTGCTCAGGTATTTTGTACAGAAATGTGCTGGTTTTGTTACTTTCTCCCCTTGAAAATAAGAGAATAAATTAAAATGTCTCTTTTGCCTTCAAATTTTGACCTGAATCCCACTTACTGCATAGTTGCACTAATAAATTATGGAGGAATCCAAGTGCTGATACATGAGTTCCGGCTAGATCTAGCTGAGGCAAGTTTTGTCCCTTGCTGTTTGTCCTGCCCCACTGCAGGAAGCTGTAGCCCATGTACTGAGGCAGCAGTTAAGGCTGTATCCATAATACCTCTACCACCTCAATTAATAGCTTGTTATTTTTACTTATAGTTAGCAGTGGCTTCATGCATATAGGATATAGATTTGCAACCAGGACCTACCTTCTTTAGGACTGCTGATGGTCTTGTTTCTCTGCTGCCTGGATGTTTGAACTTCTTTTTGATCAGATCCTTTGCAGGTGTTGTCTATATTACACTATTTTAAGATAAATTATCACAAATATTGATTGTCTTAAAATGTTCCATATATTATGAACAGATAAGTAGTTCAGATATGCACACATTGGAGATGAAAGCTGTCATTTGACTGATAACTCAGGCGTCCATATTTCTCAGTGAAATACAGCCTTCAAACGCTAACCTACCAATTCTGTGTAAACTACAAGAACACAGTTACTTCCCTTCCACTCATTATAGGTAGCATTAAATTTAAGGAAATGAAGCTGTTGATGCCTAATACAGTAGACCTTTGTTTCTGCTGTTACTGATCTTAAAACGTTTGGCTCCAATTTCAGTTGCAATAATGTACCCTAATAGCATCAGTTGGGATCATAAACTGACAATTTGTCATCTCTTTCCCCACTGGAACTCCTACAGTTTGCAGGGGTGGTAGTATCTTTTTCCTCTGTCAATCAGAACAGCATGCTTTACATGTTCTTTATGAAGATGTGTATGTATCTTACCCTCTCAACAAGTACTGTTATGTGAAGTGGGCAAAATGGTTTTCAACAGATAAATGTTTATTTTCTGTACAAACACTCAAAATCAAGAATTCTTTTTTACATCTTTTGAATATTGGAAGGAATCCACAAAATGTGAAATGTTGAATCCATAGCATTAATGTATTCCCTGCACAACCTAGTAATAGTTCATACAGAAAAGACCAGACGTCGATCAGGTTTTCTGTATGATTTTAACATATGTGGATGCACTTTCAAAAAAATTTTGTGGAATTCAAGGAATATTCACATTGGGTTTCTTTCCATTATCCCCTCAAAAGATTTCCTAGTTTGTTTCTCAGATTTAGGATGTGATGCACTTTTCCATGTTGAAGAGGAAATTGGACACATCTTGTTGGAGTGTTAATGAGCATTCACATTCTCTTGTCACTATAATCTCACCTGTTTGAAAATGACATGACGTACTAATATCCTTTTTGATAGGTGAAGGTAAATGAAATCAAACCAGCTCCTGTGCTTACTGGAGAAGTAGTTGCTTGGGAAGTTAAAGCACTTGTTGTCTTCCAGTGCCAGCGAGCATTTTGCCTTTCCAGCACTCCCAGTCCCTATATAGGTAATGAGAATTCAATTGTCAAATTTGTCTGTAGTGTTTTTTTCTAGCTACGATCCCTTAGTAAGGCACTGAGCTTGTGAGGAGCCTTGAAATATTCTCAAAAAAAAAAAAGCTTATCTAGTTTAACTTAACTGTAAGCATCTACAGTGAGATCAGTGAAATACACCTTTTTGTGATGGGTTCAAGAAGGTCATAGCATGTGTTGTAATATGCTGTTGGTTTTAATGTTTATTTGAAGGAGGTATTTTCTCTTAAATTAATTTATGCTTTGTGAATTTTTTTCTCCTTCAGGTGGTTCACGCAGACATCTGTACTCAGGCTTCACTTCTTCAGAAGGCTGATGTTGTTGTAATGAATAATGTCTTTGAATATTTTCTTGACAGACTGGAACAGGCCAAGTAAGCTACATGTTCAAAGAAGTAATCTATTTCTTTGGCACTGTATGTGTACCCTTGTAGAAAACCATAAGGTTGTGCTTTTTGAAGTCACTTACATAAATTATGTAAGGAAATGTTTTAAAATGCCTTTATTTAATTGTTTTTCTTAACTGCTAAGATATTACAGCAGTTTCTGCTGTTAAACTCACTGAATACTGTTCTTTTTTTACCCAAATCTTTCCTGGTTGCACTGTTAAGGGTCTGAATTGACTTTATCAGCATAAAGCTTGATTTTCAGAAAGAAGACAGGTTGCTCTGACTTGTGGATGTCACAGCATTGATACAGATGCACTGCAAAACATGGATATTAATATTTCTAATGTATTTTCATAAGGACGTGGTACAAATAAATGCATGATAAAGCTGCTTCTTTTTAGGGTACTGGATGCTTCCAGATGAGCATTTGTTAATCATTATCCATTTAAAGCTTAAGTAACTTTACCTGCCGAAAGTTGCTGTGCCTTTACCATGGGTAGTTAAAAGAAAAGGGTGCCTGTGTTTCTACTAGCATTTTAAGTTAAGGCATGTTCTTGGTACCAAACAATAATCTCAAACAGAGACAGAATGGATGGGTGAATTAGTTGCTGTTGCACATTGCCTGGAGATTTGTTGCAAGGTACATGACTGAGAATTCATTTAATTCTTCAAGAAATCAGTTGTAGTGGCTTAATGTTGCATTAGTACCATGAAGACAAATTACATTTGAAAAATGGTGAAAATTAAATTCTTTTTAATATGATTTGCTGTGCTGCTAGAAATGAACCAACTCGCAAAATGAGAAAAAAAAGAAATGCTGGGGGCTATATTTATATATTTCTATTGGTAATGTTTTAAGAGACTTTTGTAACAACTGCAAAATAAGTATGTATAGAGCTGCTTTCATAAAACTGCGTGCCTGGGGACTGGATTTTCTTCAGAAGTTTAAGGGGACCAAATGTTGATGTTTAATCTTAGTCCAGGATGAAGGTATTGACAGTACAGAAAGACATGCATATATGTATCAGAGTGAAAAATTTTTTTAAAACCCCAGCATTTTAAGACTATCTATTCTCTCTGTTGTTAATATAAAGTCTGATTTTGTTTGTACAGTTATTTGCTGAGATACAAACAGTGAGTGATAAGCAATATAGCAAGTCTTCAAGCTTAGTCTGCCTCCATTGACTTTTAGTGTTAGATTTGTTGTATCTCAGAGGTGTTTCTATCCCTGAAAATTGATGACGTATTTTCAAAACTGTTTCAGAGCTTAGGAATTTATTGGTTTTAATATAAAGAAAGAATATATTTCTTTCTCTAAAACCTGATAATCTGCTTTTAAATGTGTTTCAGAGCTTGGGAGTTTATTGCTCGTAACGTAAAGAAAAGAGGGTCCTTGTTAGTTACAGTTCCAAGCCTTAAAGAATCGCTTTCAAAGCTCCAGGTAAGTTCTTTCAGCCAGTTTTAGCCAACACATTTTGTCACTTTCTGTGGAAGTGGCAGTTCTGTTCTGTAGGTCAGATGCTTGCCAGTGTTGTTATCAGAAAGGGTGTGTAATTCAGAGTGTAGACTAAAATGTGCAGGACTCCAGATTCTTTTCCAGATTGACCACCAACAATCTTCTGTAGTTGAATTGTTCCTACCCATAAAATGGAAAACCCAGTCTATATCAATAGGCTCCATGAATCATTGCATTATCATGCATATTATTACCAAGAGTCTAGCTATGAAGTTATGAAAAATAATATTGTATAAGCTGCATAATTATGTGATTTCTGTGATAATAATTTTAGTCATGATTCAGGCCAGAACTGTGACAGTACCCACTCCCCTTAAGACTACATCCAGGTATAGGTGTATATATTTACAAACTTCTAGTTAGAGAAAAGAATTGAAAGTTTTACTTCTATTTAGCTTTACACTTGTGCATTGCCTTAAAATATGACAAACTGTTTCACTAAACCAGTGGGAAAAAGGAACATATTGAAGAAAGGACTATCCTTGATGGTATCCTATCTTCTTTTCTGCTGTTAGCATGAAGAGTGTTTCATAATATGCCATTATGAGCTATTAGAAGTACAGATGAGGAGAGAGATGGTATCCCAGCTAGGCAAGTGACTCCCATCAGGTGCATCAGATCACTAACATAGCTTTAAATTGCAGTTGAAAACAAAAAGTGTGACAGTACAACTTTAAATGATATTGAATATCCTCTGTTGCTGCTGTTCTGTTGTTCTCTGAGTACTATCACTTCTGACAGACCAGCTTCTGTTCTGCATCCATTCCGCCATGGGTCACTGGTAGCTTACAGTTGTTATGTGTATGATGCCTATACAAATTATATGGGCTAGCTTTAGTTAGGAAACAAAATGCTGAAAATACATGACAAAGTTACTTACAAAGTGGCTTGCTGGCCAACAGTCTGCTTTGGAGAAGTTGAATCACTTGTTGCCATGTGTTGATGGATGTAATAGATCCTCAGCCCGAGGAGATGAAGTGATGTCACTTGACATTTTCTTAATGTAGAGTGTAGTCACACACCAGCTGAGAAGATCTTTGTAGTCTTATCCTATATTCTCTAAACGTAAACATAAAACAGGAAAGTAAGTGTGCAGTACAGTTAGCTGTTCCCTCGCTGCTTCCTGTCAAAACGATGCCCTGAGGTCAGGATGCTTGAGGCTTGTACACAAATGCAGTCAGAGAAGCAGTTGTAACCTACTAACAAAATATCTAGACTACCAACTGAGATAACTTTTAAAATTTATCTTTATTACACTCTTATTTAAGTTAAATGGCATTTCCAGAAATGAATTTATCCAGTGCTGCATAATTTGCAGTGACTAATGTGTCTAATTATGCTTTGCTTTCCTAATGTTGTGCTGGCCTTACTCCTGTTGTGTTTCTCAGAATTGTGTTAATTTAATGATCTGTTTTCATTGTTTCAGACGGATATACAGCTTGGCCTATGGGTAGAGGAGGTGCAGCTAAACTATGACGTATATGTGGAAAAGGATGCTGACAGAGAAGCACTTGAACAAATACATTTATACAGCATTCTGTAGTACTTGGAAAAACTTATTAATGTCCTTGCAATATCGTATATTTTGAGTCTAAAATGAATTCTGGTTTATATGTATGAATAAATTGAGTCACGGTTGTTATTGCGGTTTTTAATGTAAGAGTCTTTCTTTTGAAACAAGATTCCTTGTGGAAGCATTTTGTCTGACCAAAGTATATTGACTTTTAACTAAAAGATACATTTTATTTTTAGTAGAAATGTTAGAAAGAATGACTATTGACTGATGGCAAAATAATTTTTGTTCCGTAGCATTATGCACTGCTAAAGTTTGCTGAATATATAGAACCTAAGAATGGCAAATCATTATTAATGGATGATAGCAATACATTTAACATAGTTACTTAAAATTTGCATCTATTAAGATGTTTCTGCTTTGTTTTGTCAAAAACCAAACCAAAACTCTTTCTCCTATGGAATTCTTAGATTTTCTTTCCATGGTCTGCCAGATAACCTGAGCATTTTCTGGCATTAGTTAAGAGAAATTACTCCATCCATTTAGTTAATCCTTAAGGTAAGGATGTTAATGTAAAACACTGAAAGTTACCTAGGAGGCAGTGAGAATTAATACCACAAGTCTGGAACTGAAGAACACTGTTTCATGCTCTGCACTTCTGGGGATTATAGAAAGTATAATAAGGGGTTAAGAAGCTGAAAACTCTGAACAGGTGTCACAGCTTAGCGGAGGCTTGGTGGTGGCGTAAAACATTGGAAATTCGTAACAGAGCCTCCTCAGAGAAAAAAGATCCACATACGCCCACCACATTTATATTTAGATTTTACATTCTAAGGATGTGAAGCTTTTAGTCAGCTGAAGAATGTTTCAGTTTTTGCAAAGCGTTGGCAATCAAGTGCAAAAATATGAACTTTGGGAGTTTGGACTAAGTGTGTTGTGAAGTGAGAAACATTGCTAGAGTCTGAAAGTTTACTACACAACTTAGGGCTAACGCAGATGGGAAAACTTTAAATTGGATTTCAGTTTTGAAACGATTTATTGACCAGTGAACTTTATAATATATCTGACAGACAAAAGGGAACAGTGGCCATTAGGCAGTCAGTAACAAAGAAGTTAAACGGTACTAGATAACTAGTAATAAGTTCTAAGAAGCTGTATTTTTAAAGGTTTGTTTGTCATGGTGGAGGATGTTTAAACTTGAGTGATACTGAATCACAGCCCTAAAACATGAGTGAATCTGTTCTTTATGCATTTAAGAACAAACAGGCTTTACTTAAAATATTTATTTTATTACAGTAAGTAAACTGATTGCCTAATTGCCAAAGAGGCAAATACCCCTAGAAAGGGAACTTAGAAGAGGCTATGCAGTAGCTGGGAAGTAATGCATGGCTAATAGATCTAGCAAGGAAAGAATAAAAAATGGGAAAAGAAATGCATGTGCAATTCAGAATGAGGAAATGAGATTGTAGTAATCAGTACAATACAGTGGAAGCTGTGACTGAATTTGGAGTGTGTAAATAGTCTACTATAAAAGGAAAACTGGCTGGGTGTTTAAGAGCTACTGCATAGCCCCACTGTCATGTGAGAGAAAGAGACCGTATAGGAATGTTTCTTGTTTCAGAGGTCCATCAAGATCTGCGCCCTAATCAGCTGCCAGGACTTCTGGTTTATGACACTGAATATAACCTGTGCCCTGCACCTTTGGTAATATAGGAATGATAGCTTTCATTGCAGTCATTTCCCCTCTTCATGCTGAGTCTTCAAATACTTTTTGGGTGTTGATCTCAGATTAAAAAAAAAAAGCAAAAAAAAAAAAAAAAGCAGTAGACTGGAGCAGATCACTAGCATATTTAATGACATCTGTATCCTCTGACTCTGGAAATAGCATGCACGCATCTGGAGCTCATATGTAACAAGGGTGCAACAGGGAAGATCTCCTCTTGTCTTTTTCAGACATCAGGAGAAAGTCAGAGGTGAGTTTAACTTGCTCAAATTTCTGTCTTCCTCTGCTGCCCTTAATAGGTCCTTGATTTAAACCCAGACATCCAAGTGTATGCAGAGAAGTTTTGGTTAAAAATACTAAAAAATAAAACTTTTCAGTCCCTTCAGACATTTCTTCGTAACTTGACTTCATAGGGCCTGAGCTCATAGGGCCATTCTTAAGGTTGTTAGGTTAAATGAAGAAGGCAAGCTCAAATAACTAGTGTGTGAGAGAAGGTGTCAGTTGAATTTGTTCCTTTTCCAACTTGTCTGTCTCCTGTTAGTCCTGTTATAGATTCCCCTACACAGGAGTAGAAAAGTAAGATGTAAGGTTTGCAAAACCCTTTATGATAAGTTGGAAAATCTGTCCTTTTGTACATTTGGTCAGCCTGGGATGTCAGCGGAAATTTACCTGAGAGTATGTGTATTGCCTCAGCTCTGGTTTTGCTTGTTTGGCCCTCAGATCTGCATGTCTATCCAGTGGGCTGAGTCCCCATTCATGGTTCCGCTGCTGCTGTACGGCATGCTCCATGTCAGACAATTCAACCTTTCTCTGCCTTACTGTCTATGGTGAAAATAGGAGTAAGAAGTCCAAAATCAAAGCAAGATGCTTGTTGGATCATCAGGAATTTCTGGCACACAGAGAAAGCCACTCCACTCTTGCCTGCAGCACAGCTCTCCATGCTGTATTCTGTCTTCTGCAGAATGAGCTATCTGAAGTTCAGATCTATTGAGAATTACTTCAGTAAACCAAAGAAGTTGTTTTGGGACCCATGGTAATAGGGCAAAAGCTGTCAAGCTTTAAGAATAGTCCATTAACTTCACAAACTGAAAACATTGCAGATATATTCACTCAGGATCATGCCATCAAATGCCTGCTGTGGGCAGCCTGGTTGTCAAAGGTGAGTCATTTTCCATGTGTGCTTTTTCCCATGAAGTGGTATTGGAAGAGTATAATGACACATGCTTGGGAAAACGTGACAGTGAGACAAGCTTGAAAAAAAAAATCCACCTTCTCAATTTCTCATCATCTGTATTTTCTGCTTTTCTCTTTAGGTTTCTTTTATCTCCTGTCTCTTTTAAACTGTATTCTCCCTCTCTACTCCCAGAGCCAGGACCAGGCAGTAGTGCAGCAGTGGCAAACAGGAGCTCTGCAGGAGTGTGGGTCATTGAAAGACAGTGACAGCAAATATAGCCAGCCACTTTAGCTGAGCAGCTTCTCAGGGTCAATGCTGACTGGAAAAATGATGGAAGCACTTATAAAGGGCTGCTTCACACCCTCCAGGAATTCTGTCAGGACCTCCAAAGAAACGTGCAGAGCTGGCTCCATCCCATCTTACAGGCACTGCATCAGACCCTGGCTCTTGTTCCCCCACCTCAGCGTAACAGAGCTTGGCACAGACAATGCCACAGCTCCTTGCCAGCGTTTTAACAAATGGCCTCCCAAAATTCACCCTTGGGGTATGAAAAACCCTCTGCAGTACAGGCGTGTGTATTTGCAGAATTGGAGGAGAGTTAATGCTATTTGACCAACAAATGCACGTTAATTACTCTCTACAAATATTGTACTTCCACTAATCATGTAAGAACAGATTAACATGGCACACTGTTTTGGTGGAGGAAGACAGGGGACATCATGCTTAAGTATTTTAAATTCCTGCAACTCTGTGCAGCTTGCAGCCGTCAAAAAAATGATGCTTGTGTGGCCTCAGGGATGAGTCTGTTGTGATAGGAGTGAAGCGGCACTGTGCTGAAGGCTTGGAGCTTATCATCCCAGGAGTCCACTGTGCCTTGTAATGTAGGAGCCCCCCACTTGATGGAGTCATTTCCCATGTGCCTCTTTCAGGAACGCTGACAAACAGATCTTAAAAGCTCAGACCAGGAGTTGCCTGCTTGCTCTAAGTTTTTCCTACTGCATTTGGAATTCCCCCACTCCTGGCTGCATGACATCCCAACCCCTCTTGCAGCTGTGGTAGCCTTTTATCTGGAGACCATACCTCAGAGACTTTTGGATTCATTCATCTCTGATGATCCCTTACATTAAGGGAGAAAAAAAAAGGAGGAAAACAGTCTTCATTTGCTATAGCAGGGTGCAGCAGAGTCCTGAGCTCTGCCTCATCTGTCCCCTCCTGTGTGAGAAAGATTCTGAGGGTTCTGCCTCTCCACTACCTGCCCCAGACCCAACCAAGGGGATGCTTGGGCAGAAGGGAAGGGCTGCTTCTGTCCTCCAGCATTTCTGCTTTGCTGCGTTCCCAGGTTTGCTGGAGCATCGAAGGCAGCTAACCCAAACTGTCAGCCTGGGCTAGGAATAGCAGGAGGGAGGAGAGTTGGTAGATTTCATGCCAAAATTTGAAGCGAGATGTTCCACCAGAGTTGCTAGCAGCCCCAACACAGAGCAGGCTCTGATTGTTTGCAGCACTGTGTGAGCATGTGCATTGTGTGTGTGTGTGTGTATATATATATATGCATATATATATATCCAAGTACAAATTGAGATTCTGCTTATCTTCAAGAGTCTGCTATGTACATGGGCAAAGGTAGAAGAAAGGAAGCATTTCCTGTCTTACAGAAAGGCAGTGAATTAAGGATAGTCACTGTGATTGTGTAAATGTAATTGCACACATGTGGTCTGCTGTAGTATTGGTGAGTGCACTTTTGTGGTCAATAACTGACTTCCAATTTTAAGCATGAAAATATCCACATTGCTGTTAAAAGAAACAGTTTCTATATTTAAAATGACATTAAGGAGATGAATAATCCATGATGGAGGGAGGAGGGGAGAGGCACATCACTGACAGCTTCCTGGCAAAGCATTTAAGACACTGGAAAACAGACACCGAGATGATATGTGGATAAACCTAGCAAGGACATGGTGTAATGAAGGGAAGAATTTGGGTGGAGCTGCCTGCTTCCCTTCCAACCACTTGAACAAAGAAAGAAATAAAGGAAGAATAATTGTGTTAGTAGTGAGTTAAATGGAAAGCTGAAAACATGAATCTTAGTGTCTTAAGAGTGAACTTAGTGTGATGTTGCAAAAGCACTTGCCCACTAACAAGGCCTAGGTGTCAGGGAACACTATTCTATACCTGACGGCGGATGCCTGAGTATTTTCCTTTTGACCCCACTTAAGATATGCAAGCAGAAGATGTACATGAACTGCTAAATTTTCATGGTAATTCCGAAGTCACCCATAACCCAAAGAAGTGCCAGACAGTGACTGGGTTGTAGGAAAATTTCAGGGGTTTTGTAACCACAGATACTGCACATGTAAGTACGTGTGGTGCTACAACACTGCAAGCCTGTCATTCTGATACTTACTGGAATTAGTGAGGAGCTTCACTGCCTATTTAAAATCCGTGTTTCGTAGACTGACTCCCTCCATTTCAGTGTCATAAAGGTGTCAGCCAACATTTCTGAAGCTGCGCTAAGACTTCTATGGAAGAGAAGACTCCAAAGTACGTACAGCTTTTGGCCCTCCCTCAGGAAAAGGCTGATTGGGGAGTGTATTGCATGTTGTTGGGCTTTTTGCATTTTTTAATGACTCATGAGTTGGACCTTATTTCTGTTCGTGTTTCAGTGCCAAACAGAAATTGTTATTTAGGTCAAACTGCTGTTTTGGTACTAATCGAAGCAGACATCAGTTTTGTCTGTGGATTTCACAGCTATACATTCTTTCAAAGCAAAGTTCCCTCTTTAGGCTACTACATTCAGCTACTACATTCATACTTCATACTATACTATATATATATATATATACTATATATATATATACATACTATATTCATACATACTACATTCAGCTGTGCTGGACTCACACACTGGCATCAGCACTATTTTTGCTGCATTACCCGCATATGCCCAGTCAAGGGATGGTTCCTTTCTGTTCATGCAGGTTCTGGGTATGTCATCTCCTCTTCCCATTTCCTGCTTTCAGGCTGCTGCACTGTCCTGGCTTTTGCGTTCTGGCTCTTCTCTCCATTGGTGTGACGCTGCATCCTGTTGGTGTAACTGTGTATAGAACTCCTGTGGATTTCCTTCAGTTCTTATCAACTGAGGATCTTGCTCCCCACCTCTGACTCAGGCACTGAGATGTCTAAAGATGGATCTTCAAGCCTGCTTTTGCACAGGTAGTCAGATCCTGAGCTACAGCTGAAGGTATGGGCTGAAGGAGAAAGTAAAAGAAATGGCATTAAGCTACCTTGAAAGTTCTTCTGTATCTGTATTACTTTGCTTGCTCTGATGTATAAAATACTTTAAACATCAACTGCTTAGCAGTTATTCCAGGTTCTCTACTAGCAGTTGAGGTCTAGAAAGCCAAAAACACCTTTTAAAGCTGTTTCCTTCTTCCCCATCCTCCTCAGGCTTTCCTGTAGGTGACAGGAACCTTCAAATGATATGTTTAATTCTGAAAGGTCTTTGCACTCAGGAACAGCACAATTGAGGATTCCCTGAGATTTAATATTTAGTTAAATAGATGACAGGATGGTTTCCGTGAAGTTTTCCAGTCCCTTTCAGATTGATCCCCTTTCACAGTACATACATGACACAATCCAACACTGTTCTTTGTCTTGAGCTACTGCAGTCTGCCTTTCTTGTTCTTTGTTTTTGTGTTTGTTTTTGTTTTTTTTCTAGTCAACTATTTTTCCCAACTTGAGTGTCTGGAACAACTGATGCCATCCTGAAAGCCGTCTGGTAACAGAGGGATGTTCTTACATGTTTTCCTATTTTTTTCTCCTACCACTCATCGGTTGGAATTGATATTCATGCTCTGAATTAACAGAAGTTAGCTGCACCACCCACATTTCATCATGACTGTACATATGGTTCAGCTCTAACAACAGGGATGAGTTTTTATTTAGTAACTGGATGGGGGCATTTCAGTGAAACTCACAGGCACACCAACCCAAGGCTACCAGCCATCAGTTGTGTGTGGATGGTTCTTGTCCTGTGACTGCAGTCTTAGGGTACCCAGCCTTTGGCTGATTTCTTTGTCTTTCCTGTAAGTGGCTGCAGGTGTGTGAGGGAGAGAGCATGCAGCTGGTAGGAGGATAATTACTCACCTTTGCAGGCCTTAATCATAGGGAATGATGCTAGCATAGGGGAGAACAGGAAAGCACCTTGAGTATGTGCATGAAATCTCTGCTCACAACCTAGACTAGCTCCATTCCATGAGGCTCATCTCTGGCAGGGAAACAGAAAGGACACTGCTCAGGCCTCAGGAAGAAGAGATAAGTTCTATAAACCTAATAATGACCTGAAACAGGATTAGCTCATCCCTAAACATCCCATCTTTGTTCTGCAGCCCCTGGATTTACTAAGCCAGGTCTTCTCTACACAGGCAAGTTTCTACTTTGCTTCTCACATGACCTAGCCAGCTTTCTCCCTTTCATCTTGATGAACCTTCACATCTCTCCCATTTGTGCTCTCACTGTAACTCTTCCTGTGGAGTTTTCAGAACAGCGTGTGCATCTCGTTGCCCCTCACCTCAGCAAGGGGAGCTGCAGTACAGAGGTCACAGCCTAGTACCATTTTCTGCCAGACTGGTTCACCTGGATGTGGCTGCCAGCTCCCACTGTGCTGCTGGTTCCCAGCCAGCTCCCAGAACTATGAGAGGGGCAAAGTAAAAATTAAAAACAGGAGAAAGCAACAGCAGCAAGACTTGTTCTGAAAAAAAAAATGGGGAAAAATTGCTGCAGGCAGGCATGCTGGTGTGGGTTGTGGCTCCTGCTCCTGTTCAGAGGACCAGGGTGATGCACAGTGGGCAGGCAGCCCGCATGTCCTCCGCAGTGCAGTGTAAAGGCTCTGGGAATCCCCCAGGGAAAGAGAGGTGGGTTAGAGGGATGAGGGATGAGCAGGAGATAGTTGGCAGAAGAAGGGCTCTGCTAAGAGCACTTCAGGGCCTGTCAGCGACCACTGTGGAAGCAGCATTGGATGACTGCTAATGCCAGTCCTGCCACCAAGAACAGCCCTCCTTCCACTTCACCCTTCCACTGCTGTACTCATGGCCCAGTACTTGGTACTTGAGTTTTTTCACATAAAATCATTCTTTCTGGGCTGGCAGACCAGAAGTCCTCCTTCCCCTCCCCACTGTCATACACTCTCCCAGCACTTACAGCTGCTTTCTCGGAGAGCCCTGGACTCAACACGCCCCTACAGCCTGTGTTCTCAGAAGTCTTATTTATGGATGCATGTAAATAAGATACAGATTTATTAATTTGCATAGGTGCCAGACACAGAGGTGCACAAAACTGGGCAGGGAGACCCAGAAGGGGGGTGCTGCAACTGAGAGAAGATGGAGCCCACGCTCATCTCTCAGTAGCAAGGCTGATGGCCAAGGGAGATGGAGTTACACCAATCCAGAGGCAGCCTCAGATCAAAGCTGTGAAAGGAGTTATAAAGCTATTCTGCTTGCTGCATGCACTGCTTTGCTGTAAGCAAAACTTTCTCAGTGGTCATACTGCTATGCATGAGAAGAAGTTGCTGCATGAAGGCTCTGGAAAGGAACTGGGTATGAGATACCACTGTCAAACTGTTGGATTCAGCGCTGATAGCTTTGCATTACCCAACTCTTACCTCCTCCCCCTTTGCAGAGGTCCCTGCAGCAGACCACTCTAGATACCACACCTCCCATTCTTCAGATCACAGCCCAGTGCTTTAAGCAAGTAATAAAGGCAGACCTGTGCAGTGACACCCAGGTGTAAATGAAGATGGCCCTCACATGCGTGAAATCAGCTCAGCCACCTGGCAAAAGACAGCAACTTTCTATGATTGAGATATCTATAACTGTTTTCAGCAAAGGTGACATCAGCAGAGGAGCTTCATCAAAGCTCTGCAGACACTCAGCTCCCTAGTGAGAGCACCTGCGTAGGGCTCAAGATGTTATAAGTTGTGTTGTCTTCATGCCTTCAGAGCGATTCATCTCAAATCTCTCAAGGGGCAATGTGGCAAAATTTTGCTAAAAAAACAAGGGAAATTTTGCCTGTCAGCCCACGACAACTCTGACGAATGATTGTGGAGGCACCTGTTAACAGTGAGGTTACTTACATCCTCTTCATTTTCACTGCTTCTCTTTGTTAAGGCACACTGGAAATTCTGCTGTTGGAGGATGACAGCAGTTTGGGGATGTGGTTATCTGCCTCCACTTGCTGCACTCTCAGCACTCCCTCTCAATGGCTGAGTGGGATGGCAAGAAAATAAGGAGGATGTGGCTTCTGAAGTCTGAATCGTGACAGTTTTCACCCAATGCTCTTATCTGCAGTAATTAAAGAATCTAGCCTGTAATAAGTAATTAGACTGTAGCCTGTCTCAGACTCCATGGGCTCACACTAGCTTCTTAAATTTCAGGACTACTCACAATAACCAAATTAAGTTTATTTTTTGTGGGGGTTTTTTTTGTGTTTTTTTTTTTGTTTCATTTTTAATCCACTAATCTGATACTAAATCAAAGGCCGAGCTGAACAGCAGCATTTTAAAAGTCATTCTGTTACTTCCATTTCTCTTTATATTTCTTCCCTGTGAGTACCATGCTCAGTCTTTTGTAAAACCTTGCAGCAGGGTTAGGTACAGGCTGTGTGCTGGGAACTGTGAAGATATATGAGTGAACATACCCCAGCAATCTGATGTGGGCTGTTCCAACCTGCCTTGGGACAAAAATGGATTAGATGGCCTTCAGAGAGCCCTTCCAGCCCTTTTTTCTCCAGTCTTTATAATATGTATGGGAACACGGTGACCATAAAAGAGATGGTTGACTCCTGCTTATGCAGATTTATTTCCAGTTGGTAAACTGATTAATTATATGTGCAAACATATCAAATAAAAACAAACAAACAAAAGCCTGAGGACTGTCAAGTATGTACCTCAGAGCTTTGCTTTAGATACTAGAGCCAAGATTAATATTTCTTCTCAGATCAGGCTGGAGTGTGTGGAAGGGAACTTGTCACCATTTGTCAGTTTTTACCCGAGATCTATCTGACTGGAGCTGCAGTTGGTACAGGGCAGAGTTGGGTCCCTTCCTTCCCATGCCCACGTACAGTAGGTGAATAATGCAGTGAATGATGAGCACTGGGACCAGTGGGCCCCATGAGATTCCTCTTGGTGATCTGTGAGCCGAGTTCAGCTCTGTCTGGTGATAGGATTATCTCAGTCCCTGATCAAGACCAAACAATGATGCACTACACCCACAGATATTTCCTATGAGAAATTGTGCTTGCAGCCTGAAGTTCATGCTGTGCTAAGCACTAAATCCAGTAGTGTGTGCAGATCAGATATTACATTAATATCTAATCCTGTGTGTAGCTGGACACCAAGCTCAAATTCGTTTATACACGTAAGCTTCACTTTAAATTAACGATGACCCTGTGCCACATTTTCTCACGTTGAAGATTAGCTGACGCATCTGAACTGGGAGTTACTGCAGTATTAATCATTTTCCTGGCTACTGCTTAGCTTATCCCTGAAATTCATCTTCAGGCTTTGGACCACCTTTACCCTGGAAGCTGAACAAAACTGAAATGCAACAGTCTCAAATTCTGTCATAGCAAATCTTAAACTGCCTACGTCTCATGGAAAAATCTGACAGGTGCCTTATTTGGAACTGCTCTGGTTTAGGTATGTCATTCCATTTTGTTCCCTTAATATTTTTTTCTTTCTTTCTTTCTTTTTTTTTTTAAATGAAAACAGGGTTATGGTTTAGGATTTAATCTTCTGTGGATTGCTGAGTTCAATCATAATCTCTGACTGCATCACAATTAGCGGGGACATCATCTTCAGAACATCAGAATTGAAAATGATCTTTTTGTCTTTTTTTTTCTCTGTAAAGGTCTGAAAGCTAAGCAGAAAAGCAATGAGAAAAGCCTACCTTCATTTCACTGTTGTGTCACGCTCTAAGTTTTCTCATCCTTTCTAAACACTCTTAGTCTGAATTGATTCTGTGGTATTGATTCTTGGAAAACTGTCTGTAACTGAGCAATATATTAAATAACAAAAAGGATCTGGGTGCATTAATTAAAAACAAAACAAAACAAAAACAGAACAATTTGTTACGTAATCTACGTAACAGCAGAAATTCACTGCTGTCAGGAGGCAGTCCAGGTTACAATACTGCACTTGCTTTTCAGTTCTCCGTGCTAACCAGAAAAGACGATAATGACCCTGCTGTTGTCT